CAGCCTCAGCCTTCATGGGGGACTCAACCAAAGGACAGCCATCATGGAGCCAGCCCTATACGGAAAGATGATTTAACTTTACTCCTCTCCACAGGGGCAGGGGCCGGGCAGGTAGCACAAAGGGGGAAGGCAGGCGGGGAGGGCGTGGTGGGGACTGTGGCCAGTTGGGAGAGAGGGAACGACTCCTCAGCTCCAGCAGCCAGCTGCTATGTGGGATCACAGATTCTCTGTTCCCGGATCTTCTCATTTTCTGAAAAGATGCCCACAATCTGGATCTTTATGTGAAATCTCCCAATTTTACATTTTGGCTCTAGTGATCTTTTAAAACAGTACGCCAACCCAACAAAACAGCTCTCGGGCCCGCCATGATGTGACCTCTGCAGAGAATGCCTCCAAGGGCACGGCCACCCAGGAGGGGCCAGCCCAGGGCTTGGTCGTCTCTGCTGCTGGCACTCTGGGATCCAACCACCGGTGCCTCCCAGACTCTAGGGCTCCTTTCTATTCTGGGCTAAGGTCCAAGAGGAATCCCATAGAGATGTCCAGCTTCTCTATCTGTGACCTTTGTCCCATGGTTTAAGGAGGGAGAGTTCGGAATTTTTCCAGTCTGCTCACAAGACCCCTTCCACTCCACCAGACTGTCAGTCATGACATCCCCTCCACACCCAACCAAGAGCTTCATTTTTCATGGGTGTCCTTCCTAGACGTGAAGGTTGAAGATGACAGGATGACATTACAGACCAGTCGCTAATGAGTTGGCAGATTTTTTTTAGTCTTGGGGAGTGGTGACAGTTTTGCAGGGAACCATTCACACTCTCCCACAGCCCAATTCAGACATAAGCAAGGTGCTGGAGAGCTGTCTGCTAACCCCCGACTCACTGCTGTTTGGGAGAAGCGTGGGGCTCTGGCCCTCTTGGCGCCGACACCATGTGAAACCTAGCCTCCCCTCCTGACGGAAGACGTGAAGAGAGGTAACAAACCTCCAGTAACAACTATGGGCTTTGACACGTAGTCTCTCACTGAATTTTGCCCACACTCCACTCCATCGCACAGGTGAGAAAATTGGCTCAAATAGGTCGAGGGCCTGCTTGAGTTCACACGGAGAGGCGGGCAATCAAAACCATCATCCGTATCCTTTGACGCAATGCTTCCTTTCCCGGAATTTATGCCAAGGAAATAATCAGAGACGGATCCCCAAATGTATGTCTTAGAATGTTCGCTACTGTGTTCATCTTAAGAATAAAATATTAGAAATAATGTCCAATCATAAGGGATTAGCTTCATAAGTTCCAAGTTTCTACATAGGGCAATTATGTAGCCATGCAAAATCAATCCATATTTTATTTCCCCAGGAAATATTAGGCCATTGCTCAGCCTTCAACCTCTGAATTCCCTTTTCCCAGAAGACAGTTTCTGATGGCTCCACCAATAACTTGGTAAAAATGAAACAAAACAGGCTGTGTCCATGTCTATTCCACATGAAGGGCCGTTGTCCCTGGTCCCCTTCTCACCTGAGCAGGCACGACTAAGCACTGGGCTCTGATCTTTGCCCCAAGCGCTTTTCTTTGGGCATTTCTGCATCGGGGAGAGTGTTTCCTTAGTCTCAACCATAATGCTAAAATACCCCAAAAATTATGCATGCGAAAACTTCAAGCACTTTCATCCAGCAAACACACACCAGTGCCTGTCCTGTGCGAGGCGCACAGAAGGCCCTGGAAAGACAAAGATGAATGAGACACAGCCTCAGCCTTCATGGGGGACTCAACCAAAGGACAGCCATCATGGAGCCAGCCCTATACGGAAAGATGATTTAACTTTACTCCTCTCCACAGGCCCTTTTCGTACTGCCCCGCATCTTGTATCCAGCAGAGCAGAGGACGTGGAACCCGAAGACCTGTGGTTGAGTCCTGGCTCTATGGCAACTTATTGGCTGTGGGACCTGAGGTCCTACCTGAGTTTCCATCTGTAAAATGGGACCCCAAGCCCCGCTTGTTCTGCAAGGCTGTCTGAGAACTCAGTGGGATGAGGCATGAAAATATTTTCTCAACACTTGAAGCCCTGTATCCTCCTTAGTCTTTCATTACCTCTCTGCCCACAGTTCATTGGCTTAGCAAGTAAGATGTAAGCCATGCTGGTGTACTCGTTAGTTAATCCACTGCCCTGCCCACAAAACATGGGTATTTAAAAAGAGATGGAAGAGGGGGCACTTGGCTGGCTCAGTCAGAAGAGCATGAGACTCTTGATCTCTGGGTCATGAGTTCAAGCCCCACTGGCGTGTAGAGATTACTTAAGTAAATAAACTTAAAAAAATAAATAAAGAGAGATGGAGGAGCACCTACTGGAAACAGGGTATGTGGACCTCACAGAACCTCAGTGGCAGTTGAGAGAAAATTCTTCTGGACAAGTACAACCTGTCTGTATTTTTAAAGCGTTACCATGCCAGTGGTCCCCTAGCTCACCAAGGAAGGTGTGGTTTTGTTCTCCCAGCCCCAACATCACTAAAACCCTGAATACCGCCCCCCCAATCCACACACATACACATCCCTCACCTTGGGCAGGTCTGTGGCCCCACGGATCCGCTGGGCCACCTTCTCTCCATCGGGGTGGATCTTGGCCACGTGCTTCCACATCCTTTCCCAGGTGGCCTCGTCCACAGGCAGCCCACCCCGGTTCACAAAGAAGGGGACGCCTCCATCTCGCAGGTCCTCTTCCCCTTCCTCTTCTGGCTCATCATCTCTCTGGGCTGAGGCCCCTTCGCTGGTCTCCAGACGTCTGACCCCAGAGGGGGCGGCAGCGACAGTGGGGGCCGCACCAGCGCTGCCACCCCCGGCCACCTTCTTCCCCCCTGGCATCCCCGAATCTTTGACGGGGGTGGGAGTATGTATCAGGAGGCAGAAAAAAAATAGGTGGCTCACAGGAGGCCTCCCACACACCAGCTGCAGAGATAACACATGGCCAAACAGAGTGCAAGGCGCCTGTACGAAACCAGGGCGTGGCTCCTGTACAATAAAATACTACTCCATAAGAAAAAGAAAAAAAAAAAAAAATCAGTGCCTCAACGTGAAGTAGGGGGTAGAGAGGTGGTTGTCCGGGGTCAGCCTTAGAGGCTTTGTTCTTTTTGTGAAACTGGATAAAGAGAACACACCCCAAGTTGGCAGCCTTCACAAAGCTCCCCCATTTGACAGCGAGAACAATGACGGCAGCAGTCTGGGCTTGCAGAGAGGAGAAAAGTCGGAGGGAAACTGAGGCCAGACAGCTCCGACCTGCAGCCACAGAGGGTCAAGGCACCGGTGCCCAGGCCGACCGGGCGCCCCAAGTCCCAGTTCTGGAGAAAACAGATTCCCCTCCAAAATATCGCACGCTCACGCCGGCGTGCGCTCCGGGGGGTACCGAGGCGACTCCCGGCCGCATCAGCTCGGAGCCGGGACTCCCGGACCGGAGGGTGGCGAGGGGCCGCGATTTCTTCGACGCGACGAGCCTGGGAGCCGAGACTCGCAGATGGCGGGGCGCGGGGAAGCGGCGCGCGCCGACGCGCTCATTCCACGCCCGCGGCCAACTCCCCGCACAAAGTGGGCTTTGTCTCGGCCCCCGTCCCCTCGCCCCCGGGAAACAGCAGCGCAGCTCTCAGAAGGGGGAAGGGCGCGGCGGGGAG